ATATTATGAGAAGGAATGGATTACTGAGTGATATCACCGAAGGCCAGGTTGAAGGAAAGCGAGGACTGGGAAGAAGATTGATACAGCTAACCGACGATCTTAAACAATGAAAGAAGATGTTGATAAACTCACAAAAGCAAAATCCATCTTTCACCCACCTTTCTTTGCAGTGTTTAAAAGCTTCAAACAGGACAGACACAGTTACTTTTGTAAGACTTGGAACCAATGTCACTTGCACTTTCCCAACTGCCTGTATATAATGAAGTGTGTTGTCGATGCATTTCAGTATCTCAATGCACACCTGCAAAACACATATTTGTTTTCACATGTCGATGCATATTGTAATACACTTAATTTGTAAAAACATAAACATTAAATTAAAACAAAAACTCATGGTTTCTTAACTGCAGACCCAACATGTTCTGTCACCTTCTGAGGCATCATTCAGTTCATCTGAGGCATAAGCCACTTAGATTTATCATTGTTGTATTATTCATACTCTATTTAAACCTATTGCTGTGACGTTCGACTGAAGTTGAATAACCATCAATTACTGTACAGTGCGACACTTGACCTTAGATCACATCAAGAAATAATCTCCTCCTTTTGCTGTGACACTTGACTTCATTCACTGAGCTATGAAAACGAATTTTTGGTTGCCTGCGTGCTGCCACCTAGTTTGAAGAATTTGACATTGTATGAAAATGCTGTTACATTACATTTGACAAAAATTTTGAATTTTTCATATTTTTACCTTTACAGGAAAGTGGTGAGAAAATAATGTACGGGAAACTGGTTAACCACACTAAAATTCATCTAAAATACACACACTACTTACATTGATAAAAGAGAGAGATCTCGTTAAAATACTGACAAGTACATTAACAAGAATACTGCAGAGAATACATTTCTTATATTTGCATCCACATATTATCTGAATTGTTCAGACGCTGTCAGTAAGTACCATCTCATCATTATCAAATTCAGTTTCCCCCTATTACAAGTAAATTTGCAGCCAAGTCTATCAGTGCTTTGACAAAGACAATTACTTTAATAAGACAAAATCTTCTCTGACTTTATTTACGTGTTAAACACTCACCCAACTTTATAAGATGTTCTACATTACACAGCTGAGTCTGGTGTCAATGCTGCCAGAAAGGAAACTTCACTGTGCAGGTGTATGGATGTGAAGGCACATCTCTAAGGTTTACTTACTTATTTACACATGTTAACTGGCATATACAAAGGCAGCGAGAGCAGTAGTAATGCAGTATCTTGGTTTGACCCTCAAGAGACAGAAGGGACATGTATGTCCATGAAGTAATGAATTTTGTTATTCAAATGGTACTATATTTGTCCCACTATACCATGACATTATTAAAATGTCACACATCCAAACAAATAGTAACGTTACTTCAGGTTGAGTTGGGGTGAGTTAGGTCAGATTGGGTTAGGTTAAGTTACATTAGTTCAGGAAACACATTAGTTTCATCAGGGGTAGACAGAGGGGTACTGGGGTATGCCCCAGTATGTGGCCCAGGGGGATATGCACTGGAGGGGATGCCCTTGAGGATCTGGTGTAATGGGTCTTGGGGTGACTCAGGTATACAGGATCCACAGCTGAAAGGAAACCACCATGCAGATTGGCCCAATGGATGGGGCAGAGTACCATTTATGGGGCATAGTCCCATGTTGAGGCTGAACCCCTCAGTGGGTTCAGCTGTTAAATTAGGATAGGATAAGTTCGGTCAGGTTTCATATGTTGGGTTGGGTTAGATGAGGGTGTTTAAGATGGTTAAGGTTTCATAACACTGAGGGCCTACCTAAAACAGTTTTATGTTTTCAACAAACCTATTTCTGCAAGGAACGCACTTGGATACGCTGTGTATTTCAGTACGGATAACACTTTCCAGTCTTGTTGACATACCTCTGAGTACAATGAAGCCAGAACACAGACACACGTTTATATATACAGAAGAAGTGAGTGAACTACGTGGCATCAATATGACTTTTCACATCAAACTGCTACCTACAGAATAACTGCAGCACATTTTAGCATCTTCAATTTTTCAGACACAGATCCTGGTACTGTACTCTAAAGTGAAACCCCAAAGACACTGCTCTCTTTACATATTTCTATTAGCAATGAAGGAACTATAAAAAGACTCATTGTGGATAGCATACCTGAAGTAAGCTACTCAAACTGTCAAGAAGTTCATCCTGTTGCAGACTCTGTACATCCTGTAACATTACGTGAATTCCCTGTAATGCCTAAAAGAAAGATAACAAACATAAAAAAAGTGTATCATAATCTTTTGAAACACTAATTGTGCTTCAATGTTTTAAGACAATTTGAAATATCAAATGACAACACATTATGTTCGCACAGATTCTCATGAGTGATTTTGCATTCTTAGGTTAGTTTGACTGTTTCTAAAGTTTAAAGTCAAATAACTTCATCACAACATTTGTGGAGATGATGAGTTTAATTCATTAATGGTAGGAAAGCAGTGACAAAGACACACATTTGAAGCTATAACCCAATTTTTGTAAGAGATACTGAAGAAAGACTTCAGAAAAGTAGGATCAATCCACATACTACCCAAAAACGGAGCATAAGTGTTTACCACTACAACTTAATCTTCAATGAGAGATTTATGTATAAGCTACAACTTTGTGCCTCAAAAAATAAAGATAATTAAAATTGATGTACAGTAAAACCCCTCAAGTTGGACACCCCTCTATATTGGACACTTTTAATTGGAGCCGGCAAATATCCTATATCTTGGACACCCTTTTATCCTGGAACTTGGACACCCCTTTTGTTGTAAGTTGGACAGGTTCATGCACTTAGCTTCAATACTTTTCAGGGAAATGTTTACATTTATTTTGTTCTTTCGAATTTCTGACTGAGGAATGCCATCTATCTGGAGGATTAGCTTATGGTTGAGGGTGGAAGACATTGAACCCATCATTGGAATGCAGTCAGAGTGTTTCATTATTCTTTTGTTGAACCCTTCACTGAACTATAGTATTTTTTTTTATTTGGTGTTCTGTCTGACGACAGGTCCATATGAACAGGATCCTTCCATCCTTTTCTCGGACTGGGACCTGTTCATATACGTTCTTGGCAGATGATCCAGAAGTGGTTTGCCATTGCCTTCTTCTGTGTGTGAATGGAGTAATTGTTGGGATGCCACGGAGGAAAACTCCGTGTTGCCTAGACCACGGCCTTGCCCAACACAAGTTATAAATTCGGGCACCGCCGGGAATCGAACCCGAGACCCCAGGATTACAAGGCCAGCCTTCTAACCGCTAGACCACCGTGGCTTTCCACTATAGTATTGCAGATACAATTTTAATTCCATCAGTACTATGCTTCCATTTCAGTTCAAACTGCGTTAACTGAAATGGGAAAATTTATGGAATTAACTTTAGAAAATTTCATTGAGGTTGGAGTGTAATGTGCAACACATGGGAGTGGGTTTTAAAAGATTATTGTTGTTATCAATTCTTAATTCAAGTAAGCCTACAGTAGTTGGTTTATGTAAGTAAACAGATTACATTGTCTTTACACCACAATCTGAAAGGATGATTTTTCCCTCTGTAAGTTGGACACATTTTTGTGGAATTGTAAGTGTCCAACTTAGAGAGGTTTTATTGTATATTTATTTGGTTTAAATATAATTTTAAGTCCCTTCTAACTTAAAGCATGTGAGTTTTGTGGCATTGTTCCTGTGACATCACACAATCAATAATATTCCCCTATGATAAAACATGAAATTGTCTTTTCCCAATTTTTCATGTACTAAATGTGGGTTTAAAAGAGTGAGTTATAACAACATATTTCCATCTTTCATGCACATATATATGTCATTGATAAAAAAATAATTATGGTATAAGAATGAAACTGTAGTATATGTAGTATGCACAGTACCTTCTATTACCTTGTCATTTTGTCTTCATGTCAAATTTTAATAGTTTCATTCAGGCAACAAAGTTATTCCTATTACAATTATTGTTTCCTTTTATGAAGCCCCAACATGATTACATCTACCCTCGATGAAGTTCACATTATTCTGATTGCATTCCAATTGTTAAGCATTTATATTCACTAATTCAACACCCCTATAAATTGCAGTACTGCTTAAACACAATTATCATTCTAATAAACTCCCATATGCAATTCAGTCCCTTCATTTCTCTGAAGTAAAAAACATAAGCATAAACAACTTATATCACTAATGTCACTTCAATACAGTATCAAGTTATGATGTAATTCCTAGAGAAGGTACATTACTGTTTTCACTATGTAGCCTTTGTGAAACCAAGAGCCAACCAAATCATAACCAAGTATAGAGCCTGCCAGTTTTATAACATATTACAGTCCTTCACTAACTTAAAAACTAAATTACCTCCAAAAACAGTTGCCTTGCGGAAGGCAAGACATACTGAAACAGTTTTTCTTCAACATCATTCACAGGGATACAAGGCAAACACTTATTCAAGAGGGCTTGCAAGGCCTGAAGTGACAATGCCTTTTGATCTGGACATTCCAGTATTCTGTAATTTCAGTTAAGATGGCATATATTAAGACAGAAATAAAACTAAATCCCACATCCCTTCCCTTTTAACACATGGCAGCATAGCATTTAAAGGATATCAAAAGCACGGGCAGGGTGTCTGCAAGATTTTCTTCCACGTCTTGTGTTGACCATTCCGACAGTTTCGCTATCAAATCGAAAAAAGATTCGTTTTTGGAGCTCATTTTCCCATCTTTCAAATCATAAGATTTATCTATTGTATTACAATGTATATATATACTTTAAAGTAACCCCAAACCGCGTACAGTTGAAAAATACATGACAAAAAGCAATAAACATAACCTTAACCAATCATTGGCTACCACAGATTATACCATGTAAATGGTCATTGTGAGTACAGAGAGTTGGCTGTCACAGATAACGAACACATGCTGAAATAATCTGTGAGACGTATGTATAGTACAAATGTTTTCTATGCACTACAAAATTGTTTATCTACAGCCTGTATTTTAATTTTTGTCTAACCAATCACAGACGAGTAATTTCAAATACGTATGTGCAAGAAAAACGTATTTGAAAATTACTCGTTAGTATAGTGACTACCTACGGACTGGACGACCGGGGTTCGATCGCCGACGGGGCCAGAGGATTTTTCCTCTAGCCTCCAAGACCTGACCGGTTCTGGCGCCCATCCAGCCTCCTATCCTATGAGTACCGACATCCTTTCCCGGGGGTAGAGTGTGTTCGGTGTGTGGTGCTGACCACTCACCCCCGTCTTGTGCCAAGTTCAAGAATGATTAGGAGCTGTACCATCTCTCCCCCCAAGCGCCTATGTGGCGTGTAGTGGGACAGCTTTACTTTACTTCACTTTACTTGTTACCATGGGTACATGGGCTATCCAGAATTGAATGCAATAGTAACTTGATCTGTTGTGAACTTCAGAAGGTAATAATATCAGTGCGTTGGCATATTTATCAGACTGCACGGCGCAACAACCCAGAAAACAACGATCTTCAAAATATCTGTTATCAGAATACAAAATAATGCGTCCTAAGATGCTGAGATTAATCACCAATTGGGGAGGGGGCGGGGGAGTGTCACGTGTTAACCACAGCGAGTGGCCGAGCTTTCCCATGCGATTGGAACAGGGCGTGCTAATACCACGTTAAAGCGTGCATGTGTATGGCTAGGCACAGCGTGTACAATATGTTTATTAGAAAAGTGTCTATTCGTTAAAAAAAAGGAAGCATTAACAACAGTATGAACAGAAATATGGCTGATTACCCAATTCACCCAGTTGTGTGTATTGTGGTGTTTAAATTTGCTCATTCATATTTATTTATGAACATAACCTTGCATTTCTAAATCCATAAACATGTGTTTATAATTTCAGCAACAAGACATGGTGAACTTGGGATGCAGAAATCAGCTCAGTGTTGGCATTGCTTTCCAGGTTTATATGGACCTCTGTGAAGGTGTGTTGTTCATGTATTAGCCCAGGATTGTGTTAACTCCAGTATGTGTTGAGCTGTGAATTTGTCCCACCTTGTAAATCAAACCAAGTCTTTCTGGAAAATAAAATCAACTGAGGGTAATTTTTATTGTCATGGACAGACTGATCAGTTATAGTGATTCACTCTTTTAGCTGAATCACATGCTTTCAGTCTAAATTGTTTTGGTTTTAGGATTATGTGGAATTCTGGAGCTCCAGTCTCTTGTGCAAGGTATCTAATGCATATCTAAGGGTGTTATATTGCCAAGTATTTTATTTAGAAAATGGGAAAATTTAAAACTTAAGAATGCTATATCTCTATAATCAGTGGATACAGGAAGGTAAAAATTCATGCCACTTTATATGGAGACCCAACAAACATACAATATTTTTTGAAAATGACTGGCTTATGGGTTGTAGCACTGTGTAGTCTGGTCAAAGTTTACTGACATTTCATAGGCAGTAGAAATACTCTCAGGTTACCAGCCATGTCAGGTGGCTTACTGGTGAATAAACCATATCTTCAGCCAACATTTTGAGAGTCATCTCTGCTCTCATCCTCAGGGCTGCTGCGTAACAAACCTGGTCCTTTGTAGCACCAGTTCCCTTTGGTGAGCCTGCTACAGAGGACCAGATTTGTTAAGCAGCAGCCCTGAGGATGAGAGCAGAGATGGCTCACAAAACGTAGGCAGAAGATATGGTTTGTTCACCATTCAGCCACCTTACACGGCTGGTAACCCGAGAGTCTTTCATCAACTTCAGTCTCCACGAAAGCTTCGCTTTATACATTTCATAGGTACTTGCTGCCTTCATCATCAGAGTGATCAGTACTCAGACTACACAACACTACCACCCAGAAGACCTCCAATCCTACTTTGCAATATTTTGTTAGAATCAGAGATGGTCATGAAAAGTTTCCCTCTAAAGCTTGTTGATTTGACATGAAATGACTTGAAAGGTCTGTGTGTAAAGCTGTATAATGTGGAGGCATTAAATGACAAATACTTTGAACAGCTGATGGGAATGTTCCTGAACCACTTCATTTGTTACAAAATGTAACTGTGACCAAAGCTGCACATACAATAGCCTTAGAATAATATCACTGCTAATATTATCTCCCTGTTCTCTAGTGCAGGCAATGGAAGATGTCAGGTACGTGTACAGCCATGAACTTGATTTGATTTACCTGTTGGGTAAAACGCAGAGAGGTCCACAGTCTGCCTCAAGAACGGAGATATTTCTACCACTTTCGACTGCTTCTGAAATCACCCCTGCATGGATACAGAAAGTGCAAGATACACTTTGCACTGACAAAGATAAGAAAGGGTAATTTAAAGATAACCATGTAATTGACATATTCCACTGCAGTAATATCAACAAGGGATGCAGTGTTCATGTTACACATGACTGTTTCAGGATAACACTGGCCATGAAGGAGCATGACTCCACAGTAGTCTACTACCGCCTGACACAAGGCTTAGTACCGCCTGACTCACCAGAAACTGCACGTCGAAAGAAGCAGCACAATGAGCAGAAACACTTTATTGAAGTGGAAATGCGCAGGATGGAACACAGATTGCTAGACAGGGCTCTTAAAGCCAGGTCTTCAGAAGAGAAAGAGAAGTTTCCAAGTACCAGTAATGAACAAGTTGCAGGCAGTTCTGCAAGTACTGACCATGCATCCGGAAGAGAAGAGTCAAGTGCTGATGTGAACGATGAAGGTGCAGAGAAAGGCAGAAAAGATCAGGAAATAAGTAGTGAACAGGCAGTACATAAAGATTGTAGAAGATAGGTTGTGTTGGAAACTAGGCTTAAATCCTATAATGCAACAAGAGTCAGATCAGGTTAGATAAGCAGTAACATTTCTGATATCCAAGGAATTATCTACCAGGCAAATGTATGAATATAGGAATTAAAATGGGTAATAGCTGCTTCTGTATTTCTTTCCATTTCACTACACATAATCACCCTCTAATTTTATTTAAACAATCATTGCATTGATACTGTAGCATTTTTGGAATATTTAAACTTAGCCCACAAGAGAGGGTACATTCCAGTTTCCCATAGGAAGATGGCTGCCATTTTCAAAACAAGAGGGAGTGGTAGTGGCATGGCATTGGGATACAAAGACCTATCAAGTGATCTGGTGTGTCCCATGAGGGGTGTCATGCTGCACAACAATGCCTGTGAGGTCCAGCAAATCCTCTTCTGTCGTGTGATGTTCACTTAGACAGAAAATGGGGATTTATGCCTTCGATTTCAAAAGAAGGTATTAATTACTCACTTTTGTTTCTTAGTTATTTTGTAATATGATGAATGATATTAATGAATTTGGTGAGTTTACATATTTATTATGAACTTTAGGACAAAGTTAATTGCATTAATTACATGATAAGCGTCTCTGTGCTTTTGACTTTAAGGTAAAAAGGTGAGGCTCTAGCATGGGTAATAACAGGAATAATGCTAACACGTGACCACCACCACCATTCTCTCAGCAGTCAGATGTGTCGGTCTCCTTTTGCCTCGAGAATTTAGGCAGAGGCCACGTGTTGTATAGTCATCTTCCACAAAAGAAGAAGTCAGTGATACCAACATGAGCCATATCACACCCCATAAGGGCCTGATCAAGCCAAAAGTTTCTCTCCTAATCTTCCTGTTCATCTGTGGCTTGTCTTGCCTCTTAAAGAGGTCGATGAGTCCCACATTTGTGTTTGCCGTCCTCTCTGCAATGAAGTTGACAGGCTTTTCTACTGAGTATAAGTAATTTCTATCCAGACTGTTGCCTGGCCTTCCCACTGATTCCCCTCCCGTGAGTGTTTCACTTTCCAAATCTTTGCGTAGGCTTTCCCATGAGACCCCAATTACCCTACGCTATGTGTCAGTGATTCAGGAGATGGTTTCGGTGGACAATGAAAGACACAAAGATGGCTGTTTTCTAGGTTGTAGTGCCATGTAGTGTGGTAGAAGTTTACCAACGTTTCAGAGGTCCTTGCTGCCTCCATCATCAGGGCAGTCTCATCACCCTGATGGACCTCAAAAACTTCCACCAGACTATAAGGTGCTACAACCCAGAAGACAGCCATCTTCAGATGCACTGCCATGAAAACCTCAAATCCTACTTAATGAAAGACATGTAAATTTAGTACAAGTTTTCAATAATTAAGGGTGGAGCACCTTGGAATTTTGGATTTCATTTGATTTACAGATGAAGCATGGTTTCATGTCTGTGCATACGTAAGCACAAAAATAATTTGTGGCTGTTGGATAAGCCACAAGCAGTTTGTGAGGAGCCATTGTATTGTGAAAATTATGTGTGATTGTGCTATTTCCTGAACCTGAATTATTGGGACTCTTTTTGTTTGACTGCACTTTGAACTCAGAAGTTTACTTCACAATATTGAACTAGTTGACTGATGATATTACTACTGGCTGTTTCCTAGTGTGTGGTGAATGAGATGCAAGCATGAAGGAAACTTAAAGCATTTCTGCGTACCTGGCTATCTCAAAAGACCTCTGGACAACAAGATGCCCAGATTTAACCCTATTGGATATTTTTTTTGGCCTACTGAGAGGTAAGGTCTGTACCATCAATGTCCTCAAATGAAATATTGAGCGGGAGAGTGCAGCCATTCGCATGAACATGTTACAAAGTGCATTTGCAGATTTAAAACATGGTGTTCAGTTCTGCAAGAGCAGCCACTTATGTGGCAGGTCACAGTTTCACAAAGACAGGTATTTTATCAGTATTGGTGAATAAATAGTGGTTCTGTTGCTGAAACTCTGGGGCCTTAAGAGAGTATCATTCTGTATATTGATCTGATAGTGGAAGCATATGTGCAGCGTAAAAAATATGGCATCCATCAGTAGCAGCTTAAATTGCCTTTCTTGGAAATTATAGAAATGGCTTTGGATTTAAATTCCTTGCAGCCAAAATGAAATCTAACAGTGGAATAATTCGCACCTGAAACCCATAATTCCACAGAACACAGGTTGGGTGGTATGACTGGATTCTCTCACTGGGCTTTTTGTCAATCAAAAATAACAGGCATCTTAGTAAGGAAATGAAACTTGGATCTTTGGACAGGGAACTTCTGTCTACTGAATCTGGTAACACTTACCCATGTAGTCTGCATGTACTGCTGTTGCACATCTCACATCAAAGGCAAATGAGATCATGTAAGATTAATCATTCCATAAGGAAATATGGATTACATATTGTAATGTTCATTTTATTAATAAAAAACAATATGTTCATATAAAGCAAATCTGAAACCCTCTACAAAGTTAATAGTCATAGCAGTAACAAAGTTCATTGTAAGGTTACATACAGACTGCACAAGGTAGAAAGCACCATTGTAATTTTTAAATTGTTATGTATTGCCAATAAAATATTTCATATGAATGTCAAAATATTTCACAGCAAATGTCACCCATTGCTGCCCAAACAAAATGATCATCTAATTTGCATGTTCATATCAATACATGTTCAAAGCAAAAGCTGCCATATTTATGATGGAAGATTGCACTGGTCGAACAAAGCACTGATTTATACACTTAGCCTGAGAAAGTGTTCATGTTATGTAACATCTCTTAACATGGGTCCAATGAGAGTGGCTCAGTAAAATCTGATCTACCAATGAAATAGCTGTATGGTTCTTCTGACACTAGGAAATCCCATTTGCACTAAATGAACAGGTAAATTTATCTTCCTAAAAATTTAAATAACTGAAACCATTTCAAAATATTATCTTTATAAAAGGACAGGACAAAAATGCCAAAGCTAACATGTCAGTTATTGGAAATGCTGCTAATATGGTGTGAAGGTGACTAAAGTTCAAATTCCTTCTATTATAACTCATACGTTTAGCAGTACTTGAACCAACAAGATCCGTCCTTCACGTCTATAATCATTCTATTTATGTATTTTCATTTAAATGCAACTACATAGTATAATTATGATGTAAGCAGAAGGGTTATGTTTTATGTCTAGCCTGTGTAATCTTCAAAATTTTACCAAGCAACCTTCAGTTCATTCTCCACACATTGTAATCCTTTTCTTGCACCTTAATGTTGACAACACAAGATACTAATTTCCAGAATTTTCTTTGTAAAGTTCCCTGACCAGTTGTATAAAGATTCTTTGTTTATATATATACACACACTATATTTCCTCAACTTTAAGATTTGATTTAGTAGTAGGTTTTCAAGAAAAAAGATGTTATATAGATTCTTAGATGCCATTAAATAAATGTATGATGTATCCCAAATGCAGAAAGTTTAAAATGTCAAAAAAGTGCATCTTAAAAAAATAAAGTCCTATCTTCACATATAAAAGGTACTGGTATACAGGATGGCTGTCCGTGTAGTGTTTTTCTTCTTCAAAAATTCATTATAAGAATGAAATGGAAGAAGAAAAAACTGGCTATACCAGTCATGCCACACTTCGCTGGTAAACATGATGGTGTCAATTTTGGACAGCAGGAGAAGATTAATTTCTCATATTTCCTGAGATGGCTACAGAGAAGTTTAATGACTATGGAAGAAGTAACAATTATGACACCTTTTAGAAGTACAGCATAAGAATTGTGACATTCCCCCTTTTAGAAATATGCTGGAAGAATTATGGTGTACTATACTTTTAGGAGTATACTGTAAGAATAATGGCTTGCCCTCTTTTAGAATTGTCCTCTAAGTATTATGACTGTCCATTTCACAAATACCCTGGAGAATAATAGCTTTAATGTTTTTAGAAGTATGCTGTACCTTGACTTGGTCGCTTATGCTAATATGTTTAAGAATTGCAGCTTGACATATACTGTAAGGATTTGGCTTGCCCCTTTTGGAAATATGCTTTAGTATAACTTGGCCCCTTTTAGAAGCACAGTAAGAAATATGGCTTGCCCCTTTCGGGAGTATGCTGCAAGTACTATGACTCTCCCCCAATACTCAGAAGTATAATGTGATGAGAGGTCTCACACATTAAAAGATGCTAATGCTGTGTATGGAACTACATTAACTTTTCTGTGTTCTTTGTACAAAGTGTAGTTTTGTTTTATTGCATCTGTAGAGATTTGTTTTTATTATCTGTCAACAAATTCTGGATTCAGGCAATTTGCACAATACTGTTTAGCATACATGTATTTTCAAAAGGGTCCAAATAATGTTTTAAGGATCTTGTTGAGGTACTTCACTGTGTCAGCTAATATTTAACAAAGCATCAAGGTAACAAGTAGCCCATGGCTCAAAATTAAAAACATATTTGCACTACAATGGAACCCCTACTCATAATTTTCTGGGGACTGCATTTAGGAAGTCATGAATTTCATGTGCCATGGTTAATGTGTTTAAAAAAGAGAATATGTAGAAGACACATTACACCTTAAATTTAGTAAGAGGGATACTTCTTTTTACAAAGCCCAGAAACAACCAAGATTTTAGATGATCAATACCATAGTTTTCCTTCAGCCTGTCTACGTAGCAGTTAAACACAGTGAGCCTATATCCAATGCTGCTTTCCAAAATTTAATTTTTGAAACATATCTTACATTTGGCTTCTAACATTAAATCTGGGTTATTGTGATTTTATTTCACTGGAAGAGTATGCATTTCCATGAACTGCCACATTGCATTCTGAAATGTGTCTAAGCAGCCAATAATTAGAGGCTATCAAATGCATGCAATTCAAATATATTTACAATATGATTCTGCTAATCAAAATATTTAATTTTAAACATCCTCATTCATATCTTGTGCTCTTATGTTTATTCCTAAAGAGCTTTTTCTGCAAAAGAGTTAAAGTACAGTCCCATCACACACATAGCTTGCTAATTTGAGTGGAAAGAATTTAATCTTATGGGTGGTTTATGATTACTGTGCAAACATATGAAACAATTAACTAATTGGCTTCTACTGATGTGCATGCACTTCTGATGTTGCAATGTGACATGTTTGTTCTAACATCTGTAACAGAATAATGTGGTAGCAATATTTATCAATACAGTGTATTCATTTACAGAATGAACTTCTGACGATTACTGTAATTTGCAGGATACTGGATACAGGGAATGATCCGTTCTTCAAGTGCCTGAGCACTGCGGGTCCCAACTTTTCGTTGGCTTGATCTATAGACAGTTGGTAGGACTCCTTGGACAAGGGATCGGCCTGTCGCAAGGCCTCTACCTGTACACAGGACAGCACAACACAGAAAAACATCCATGGCTTGAGTGGGATTCGAACCCACGGTCCAAGTGGCACAAGGCCACGCCTCAGACCGCGCGGCCACTGTGGACCCCTGTAATTTGCAGGAACAGCTAATAACTGAACCTTGAGCCAAATAACCCAGACTGCCTCAGTCAGTGTAGTGACTAGACTATGGGCTGGACAACTGGGATCCACTTCCTGGCAGGGACAGAAACTTCTCACCAAGTTTGTGTAAATTCTGGGACCCACTCAGCCTCCTATTCAATGGGTACAGGAGTCCTTTCCTGGAGGTAAAGTGTGGCCAGGGCATGATTCTAATGCCAAGAAGAATATGTGGAGAGTGTCTCCATTAAACCATATGTCATATTGTGGTGCTTAATTTAGCACCAGGGACAGTAATCCTAAAGGGTACTGATTATGGTAAATTACAGTTAGTATTGACAGCTTTTGGACCTGTCTATCTTCCTATGCTCAACAAAACAGAGCACTGCATTTCAGGAGATGGGTCTGTTCCTATCTTCAAGCTTAGGGTGGGACCATTAGAGAGGGATTAGCCCCATCTAATGGACCTAACAGTGTAGATACCTTTCACCTGAAGATGGGAGAAGACCCATCTCGTGAAACGCAGTGCTCTGTTTTGTTGAACATAGGAAGATGGACAGGTCCAAAAACTGTCAATACTAACCATGGACAACTTTACCATTATTTTATCTTTATCAAATTTTGATGCAAACTGTGGGAAAAATCACGAACGCAAATGTTTCTACCAGAGTTTAAGATGAAGAAATAAAAGAGCGATCAGAATAGGGGGGAAGAAAAAGTATGTAGGTAAATGGAGGAAATTAGTAAGATGAAAAGCAAAGTACATAAACTGCAGGAACAACTAAATCCCGAATTCCACTACGGTCGTATTAGTATTCTGAAGGGGGGGGGGGACACACACAGAAGAAGCATTTATATAGACAATGAATTGTCCTTCAACTGAAAGGCCAAAAATGATCTTTGAAACAAACACTGCAGTTTTGGTTTCGATTTTACCACGTTATAATTAAATGGGAGGCAACAAGTTTTGTTACTTTGCAACACACTCTATATTAAAGGGTAAAAATAATTGAAGTCTTTGCTTTCTTTATGATATATATTGTAAATAAAATTCTTATAAACACTGCATGCTTCAGAGCTAGCTTTACATAGTATAACTTCATTATGTAGTTATACTGGGGATACTGGGAACGACCCATTCTTCAAGAGCCTGAGCACTGCGGATCCCAACGTTTTTGTTGGCTTGATCTACAGACATTTGGTAGGACTCCTTGGACGAGGGATTGGCCCATCGCAAGGCCTCTACCTGTACACAGGACAGCACAACACAGAAAAACGCGGACAAACCTCCATGGCTTGAGTGGGATTCGAACCCACGGTCCCAGCAGCACAAGGCCCACGCCTCAGACCGCGCGGCCACTGCGGACCCCATATGTAGTTATACTAGACATAAAATATCTGTGAGCCTGGACTACATCACAACAAGAGGGTGAAGTCAAGATGGAAAGGGCAAGGGGAGAGCAATACATTTCATGTGCTATCACTTTCCCTCCCTCCCACTACCTCTGTTCCTCTGCCAGATGGCCACCAACATGTGCATTCATAATGGCCAACGAAGCTCAGATTTATCTTGTGACAGGTATAAGGAAACTGAAATGGTACAAAGATTTTAATGTTCAAACAACCCCAATGTTACAAATGACTTGACTATGAAATACAATTCTTGTTGAATAACCCAATCAATGCAGTTTCCCCCACCACTGCAATCTCCAGATTCTTGTAACCCAACATTCTGGGTCCTCCTGTGATATCTTACATTCATACACATTATATTCCACTTTAGCACCGTGCCTGAAGCTACTCGCAGCAGCTGCCACTGGCACACTCATAGTATCAGTGTAATACACATGGTCAGAGGAACACTTTTATATTAACTGAAACTTCATTCTCACTCTAAGTTAACAGGTATGTACAATTACTAAACTTCTATTATAAAATATGTAAATATACCTAGATGCCTTTTCACGTATATAATACTTTTAAATTTGCAGTCCAGTGTCATAAGGAGAGTGTGTATGGAGGGTCAGTGGTATAAATTCAGAGAGCGTTGGTCACAAGTCCCCATTCCCAGTTCTATCTTTTCTGTACAGGGGAAACGGACATTCTTTCATGTCACACATCCAACTGAAAGCACCAGTCAACATACAAATTAGAAAGAAGATAGATAATATTTTTCTATGAGGTGAAAAGAGATCCTGCTACAGTCTTGTAGAACTGGAAGACTCAAGAGCTCTCCAAAAAATGCAGCCCATCACTAATATCGCACATCTTAATTGGTAGTTCAAAAACAGTCACTACTAAGTTTCAGAAGTTTGAGGATGTAATTCGCATCTGTCCTCAAAACTAAGAAATCAAATATTAGAATTGAATAAAACACTGCATATTCTGTACCTGCAGCACTGGCTGGTCTTGCTTCTCACAAGACAATGTCTGTAGGATTGAGGATGAGAAGAGAATAGATATAAAAAAACTTACATTCCATAAATATCATTTAAAAATAAATTATCACTGTAAAAACAACACTGCTCATCACAAGGCATTATGTCAGGAAGTTCTGATCTAAAAGACATGTTCTTTGTAATATGATAATAACTGCTGACTTCTGTTTGTTGCTACAGGTGGAACATGTTTACTGAAGCGCTACAATACCACAAATTAGTACAGCACACCACTCCTCTAAGTATTATAAACTGCAAAGCTACAATTCAATTACGATAGTTTGAGCTTTGCTTATTTTCCATTTATAAGAGGAACAAAACCTGCTCCAAAATACAGCAATATTAAAATATCTAACTTCTGCTGGAAAAATTAATTATTTAAAATACTGAAGGAGGAGGACCCAGAAGTTTGATAAGAAAACAATATCAATAGGGTAAGCAGCACGTGCGCGCGCGCACACACACACTATACAGCATTCGAGAACAAAAAACATTTCCCGTAATAAGAGTTTCCAACACTCTTAGTGCACTTCAGTTGCAAAATGTACCCATGGCTTCTGGAATCTGTACCTCTGATTTTCCTGGGACTGGATCAGTTTCAGACTGACGACACATGCAGTAAAAGGTGCACAGCATAACTGTGTCGCCTGGAACAATGCTGACAGGTTACAAACAAAATATTGCACATGGCACAACTTGATGTCACTTCTCTCCATGGGACCCCAAGGCAATGGTGCACACCAGATGTCAGCACCAGTCCGCCATGTACGAGAACTCCTTGAACAGAGTCTGCTCATCATCATTCAGGGGTCTAGGGTCCTTAGCTGGTGTTAACTGAGGCTTCTCTGAGGTGAATTCTTCATCAAAGTTGCTTACATCCTCCACAGAATGCTAATAACAAGAAAATAGTATCAAAAATATCTTATCCATAAAACATAAAACACTTGTCACATGCATTAAGATTATGTCATATGAATTTTACACCGAGGGGGTGGAGGTAGGGGCAGCAACACCTTAAGTTGGCACCTCTAAATCCACAAAGCTGAGCATACTGCAGAGTAAAACATGCATTACTATATTTACAGTCTGGGGTGCAAAGTAGACCTACCTCCTTGTGGTACACCCTGGGCAACATCTCTGTTGGCAAAGTGGTCTACAAACTTGGCAAAAAAGGGTCAAAGATAAAATTCTATGTACCTGCCATTTGACATAAATAAATAAATATTTACAGTCTTGTGCAACTTACTGTGAACAAATAAAATGTTCTACGCCAAAGCTTTATTTTGTTACAAACTTACAAGAATGAAATGCAACTAACTATTTATTACTTAATATGACCTCCTTGGGCTTTCAATGAGCTAAATCCTTTCAGATAATGAATCCACAATTTTTTTTCCCAGCACTCTCCTCTAGCTTACGTTCATAATCACATGCCAATTTAAATTATGACATTAAATCTAAAATATTTACACATATAAGTCCTTTGAAAGTCCTTCTGTAAGATACTTTCATTTAGTTCTCACATAACAGGGTCACTCGGCTGGTACAGTCACCAGGTCAAGAGATTTTTCTCTTACCTAGCATATCCAGACTGGCTCTGGTCAATGACACCCTATCTAGTGGGTATTGGGAGTCATTTGCCAGGGGTAAAAGCTAGGGCATGAAGCAGATCACTCACCACCACCTATTGCCAAGGTCAACAAAGTGGAGCTATATCTCCAAATTCCAAAACATCTTCATGGCATCATGCTTAAATACCAGGGGCAACTTTACCTTACATTTCCTTATCCCAAACACTTTTGTCATTTGTGCATTTGGTAATCCACTCTCATAGCCTTCAGTTACTGTTACCATACTTACTCATGTGTAAAACACATACTTATTTTTTAATTAGAAAATTAAAAAAACTACTATGAGACATCTGAAGATTAGGCAGGCGGAGATAGCGTTCAACTTGCATTAAACTGCATATTAGAAACAAATATTCGTTTTGAAATCGTATCCAATAGTAACATTTTTATTGTGGGGAAAGATAAAGGAGAAGCCACTTCCAGCTTTAATTTTTTTTGTTAAAAATGTTAAATAACACATGACCACTGTAAAACTTCCCAATATTAAAATAAATGAAATTTATAAAAAAATATCAATCCCACAGAAATAAAAAGCAATCTCTGTCACTTGCTGAGTACGTTTTGTAGACAAACACTTCTTGTCTCAAAATTTTGTTACCAGTCAATGTGGCATTCTATTATTCAGCACTTACTTGACAGGAAACGCTTCATAAAGAGCAGTGGTAGCACTGTTTGGGTCTCAATCTGGTGTCTCATGATTAACTAGGATTCAAAGTGGCATTACATAAAGAGTAACAAGACCCAGCATGTACATTCCCAATACATTTAGATTCAGAAGGCAAGGCTGTGCAAAAACACAAGTCACAAACACAGGGTGCTTGAGAACAGGGTGCTGAAGAGAATAATTGGAAATGCAAGGAAGGAAGTGACAGGAGGCTGAATAGAGTCATGAGGAGGAGCTTCTTCATCAATCATAACTACGGTGATCAAATCAAAAAAGGATTATACAGGCAGGGAATATGACATGCATGGGAGAAAGAAGATGGTAGTACAAAAATTTTGTCAGAAACTCAGAAGTGAAGATATCACATGGGGACAATCAAATGTAAATGGAAGGAGTCCTGAAGAAACTGTATGTAATGACGCGATGAAAAGGATTGTCAACATAGTAATGAATCTTCACAGGTTTCACACAAGACTGAGAATTTGATGAGATGACAAACTATTACTTTCTTAAGGAGGACTCTCCTTCATGAAGTCAGCTTAAGTCATTAGCCACATCATAAAATTCAAATAATGAAGACTCACCACTGTGGGAACAAATGGAGGCTTGACACGACGCAACAGGAGTTCATCCCACTGAATAGTGCGAAAAAATGCTTGCTTCTTAACATCTTCAGCATCACGTTCGCTTGAGCCCAAACGGCGTTCAGGATTCTTACGTAGCAGCTGAAAGAAATAAAAAGCAATTCTAAGCATAGGAGTATTAAAAGGTTTCTACACCTAGAATATAAGATACTTTTGTGTTTGATATCCTTTTATAGGCTTCTCAGATTGTAGGAAGTTTATCTGCAGTATAATCAACGACTTTAACGGGTGAGTTATCTCAGTAACATCCCCCTGTAATTTCAGAGGAGGGGGGAAAATATAGATGTACGTGAGAATGCACACACCTCTCCCACCTTCAAAAATGCCCGTTATATCATCACCCCCCTTTCATAAAGTCCACACTTCCTTTTCCTTCTTATTTCATCAAGACTTTTGTGTCCTGTCAGGGACAGCTGGCTTGACTGTGTATATACTCAAAGGAATGAAATGTAATTTTTCATTCCACTGAAAATATCCATGAGCTTATGTTAACTACAGAGTATAAGGGCATTTGCATAAAATAATCGGCTTCATGCTTCAGTCTGACATCTACATTCATTCTACATACCCGCCTCATGACAGCAATGGATTCCAAAGATAGAAATCGAGGATATCGAACTTCATCGTTGACAATTGAGTCAAAAACTTCTTCCTCATCATCACCAGGGAAAGGAGACTGCAAAAAGAATTAAGAAGAAAGCCCAATAATCTAAATTCTTTAGTGTTTCATAAATAAAGTGAGAAATCAAGTCCAATATACAACAAGAAGGAAACAACTTTTATTACATGCAAATTATACATTGACAGTCCAATAAACTATCTTACATACTCAAAATCATACATAATAAGAACACAAATTCTCAATGAAACTCATGTAGATTGTTTACTTAATCTACTTCATGATCAGAAGATATTGGTATAATGATATTTCTGTATGATATTTGTTGCATAATATTGTATTCCTTGTTGTTGTTTATACTGTGTAGTGCGTATGTGTTTCTCATTGAAAAAGAAATCAAATGCAACCATTTTATGTTCTGCCAGGTGGCATGACGAGTTGTGTACCACTGTGCATGTTAATGTGGGTTTTTATTATACAGGTAGCCCTCGATTTGCGCCGATTTTGAAACCAGCAAGTCAAAAAGTGAAAAAATATACTTTACTATTATTTATAACGTTTTACAATGTATCTCGTACTGATTCTTATACTAAATCGTAATTCTTACATCGCTGATTTTGAATAAAAATTATAAATGCAGTCATCTCTGCAATTACGTATGTTTCGTTAATGCGAATTTACTTTAATGAGATCGATGAATTGGTAAAAGCTGTTTGTGAAATGCAAATTTTTGCATATGCGAGTTTGCTCTTATGCAATTTCATTCCTGGCGCTTTAAACTTTCAAATGACTAATTTAATCTCAGCGGAAGTACCAGGGTTATTTTTACTATGCGATTTTCTATAGGTCAGCGTCTTACATGAATGCAACTATTGCATAATAGCAGAGATGACTGCACACATCAATCACATGAAAGAATCGCAGTCAATCACGGGGACCAACGAATTGCCGATTGTAAGTGTATAAAATACTAGGATACTGGGAATGACCCGTTCTTCAAGTGCCTGAGCACTGCGGGTCCCAAATTTTCATAAGTGTATAAAATATATTTTTTAAATTCCCTTTATTTTATTTACGTTATTTCAGAGCTTTAAATGTAATGCCATTACATTAATCGCCAATGTTTGGGTACTGGGCACGCATGTCATTGACTTCCTATTGATTTACATTATAAAAGAGTTTCAATTTACGCTGATTCCGTTTACGCCGGTTCATCCAGGAACGCATCCCTGGCGTAAATCAAGGGCTACCTGTATACTGTACTGTAGTTTTAAGTTTACCCTATGAATGGTGATGTCTAAATAATGTATTGCATTGTTTATTAGTTTCCTCTAGTAAATTGTAGGTTCTTGTGTAAATTACTGAAATTTATCAGTGTGGTTGTTATTGTGTAGTAAAAGAACATCATGTGTGCGAAGTCAGGGGGGGTTTTGCTTTGCCTGCAGTATTTGTGTCTGTTCCTTTGGTACGCTGTTACCAGAGCTGTTGACGATGGTTTTTAGTTCTATGGTATTGGTTCACTGGATTTTATGTGATTGGTATGAATTTATTGTAAAGTATGAAATTTTGTATTTGTTGTTCGTATTCACCAACTTGCATGATAACTATGGTTCTGCTTTTGTTTGCTTGTATTATTATTAAATTATTACACTATTTTCTGTTTGATATTCTCAGTATTTTTCATCTTTATGTTATGTACTTTGTACACTGAGTTTTTAATTAGTTGTTTGTGGTTTTTTGTTACTAGGCACCTCATACAGTCCTGTTCTGTGATATTCATATGGCTAAGTACAAAAACTCCAAAAATATAGTAAAACTTCAACTTTTTGGGATGAGCAGCGTTATTGTTTGAAATTTATCCATTTTAGCATACATTGCAGTTGCCATCTTTTGGGTGAATATGTCAGTTGAGTATTTTTTGAAACTTATATACGGCAGGCAGCGGCCGGTGAGTGGTATATGATGGATGTGACTACTGAACTACAGGAGTTCTGCTATCACACTGGAGATGAGCACATTGTTGAAGTACAAAAGAGGTAATGAAAATTTTGTTTTATGGGGTGCATAGTAAGAAGTGGAGACAAAAGATGTTTAATTCAAGATGGGAACTGGGAATGACCATCACCTCTTCTCCTATGACCTGATCCTGAAAAGGGCCACTCACTGTCACCCCCTGTTCCACCCTTGTGGTTCATCCATATAGTTGCTGAAATCCTTTCCTAATTTCTGCGATGAACAAAACTTCTTTCATCACCCCCTCTCCTAATCACGTGCTTGTCTCAAATTGGAAAGAGACGTGCTCAACTGCTCTGACAATCAGATCCATCACATCCTACTAACAGCCTACTGCCTGTGCTATATAAGGCTTCCAAACAGTGTCTAATCAACATATCCACCCTGAAAACGGCAAATGCAATGTTTGCCAAAATGTTGGACACATTTCAAGGGTCGAAACTGCTTATCCCCAAAAGCCAGAGTCTTATATTAAACTAGAGCCATGAAAACCTAAGTACAAGAACTGCAAGTACATCTTTATCAGAAACACAGTCCTCACATAAAAAATAGACAGCAAACATCAAGACCACCACAGAATTTTCCAGGGAGAAGTAACAGCGTAACTGGTACATAACTGTGAAGGCCCTTTAACACTCACCAACTTTTTCTAGGCAACAATAATAATATACCACACCAGTTAATTTCATACTACCTTATATAAACAAGTGGATACCTCATGTGAATGTCAAATGTGTCCAGTCATTTTCACTTTTCCTTATCTTCCACAGAAACAGAAGGAAAATGCCTCAAGTTGGTCATAATGACTGCCTCCCCCTTTCCTCAGGGCTTACTATTCTTCACCATCATGCCGTCTCTCATTTGATAATTTCAGAAGCATAAATTGGCAAACAACAAAGATGCATACCTCTCCAACAAGCATCTCAAAGATGAGGACACCAAGACCCCACCAGTCTACAGCACGTGTGTATGATGTTTCAGTCAAAACTTCTGGTGCCAAAAATTCAGGCGTGCCACAAAATGTTCCAGTGCGATCCCCATAGCCCATGCCTTCCTTGCATAGGCCAAAGTCAGCAATCTTCACATAACCCTCAGTATCCAACAGTAGATTATCCAGTTTCAAGTCCCTAGAAGCACACTCAAAATTAGAGGTCAATGCAGCATGCACACGGAGAGTATAGTATTATGGCAGTTCCTAAAATTGTTCTTACATGCATGTTAAATATTTTCTGAACAAAACACAAGATATTCAGATGAGCTACATACGTATTTTTCTCCATTCACCTCATTACTGACCTTTGTACATTACCATGAACATGAAGTAGAATATCACTTGTAAATGATGTAAGTGAATTAGAGCTCTACATGGGCTGCGGCCTTGCCCTTGACCAACGCAGCCCAAGAGCAAGGTCTGGGCCTGGTAGCATAGACATGTCCAGGTCCAAGCCAGGTTTAGGCGTGGTTCAAATGACAGCAATCAAATTTTATATAGAACACTCTGGGCTATCTCAGGTGATTCTTTTTTCTGTAAACAAAAGTTATCTATGGTTGTGCTCATCTTATGCCCATGACACAGCTGGGCTCCAGAAACAAATCACACCAACTTGATTTTCTTGGGGATTTTCATACCTTCCCCCTCCCAAATAAATTACACCAAACTCATAAATTTAATTTCCCACAAATGGTGTTTCCTATGTAACAGATGATAAAATTTCTAAGGTGGGAGGATGTTCATCTGTGGTGATGTCATTAGATATCATGTCACTATATGAACTATTCATGTTGCCATCTATAAGTAGAATTAAGAACTAATCTATCAGTGGCCATATGAACTGTATATTCTATCAATCTGTTGCATCTGTAATCCAAATGTACTGCAACCTATCAGTGTCTATAAGAATTGTCAGTGCTGTCATCTACCAATAGTCATCCACAAGCTGCTTGGCTACCAGACATCATGTACTAAATCATTATGTTACCTTGGTTGAAAGAAGTCGATTACTGACCATTCTTTTTGAACTGTTCTTCTTCTATCCAAGGATTAGGCAACTGTCTGTTTCAGTTTATTTATAAATCTCAACATATTTTCCCATTAGTCCACACCAAGTTTATAACTTCTTTAAGAATGTAGGTTTCATTTCATTCTGTATTTTTCCACATTTTGATTCATTGAAAATATACCACATTTCTAAACGAATAAGATAATTACAATTGGCCATATTTAATGGATCAGAGCAATTATAACAATCAAATAACTTGATACATGCAGAGAAACACTTCGTCCTTAAACATCCAATGAACCTTTCTCAACAATGTGAAAACTTTC